GTATATGTTGAGAGACATGGAAAAGCATACCAGATTCACCTAGCTTTAAAGATACAAATGCTAGAAAATACATTTCAATATTTTTCAATACTTTATCCACTTATTTGTTTCTTATTAGAATTTTATAGTTATACAGAGTAGTTCATTCAACATTCTCATGCACGTTTGGAATTTGATTTGAGTTCACAATTCCCCGCTTTTCCCACTGGTTCTCTCTCCCCTCCCTTGTCCTCCTTCTTTTACTAGATTTCTTTTTGCTTGTCTGTTTATTAACATTTGATTGGCTATTTATTTTTATTTATACATAAAGGTGAAATTCCCGGTGATATATTTATATATGCACATAACATGATTTTTAAAGAATTTATTCCACATCTCTTCCCCTTACCCATCCCTCCACTCTGCCTCTTGATTATTTGCTTCTACATTACTTGCCTTTATCTTTACAGGATTCTATTCTTCCCCCCCCCCCGCCCCCCCGTCCTTTATTTTACTCTAGCTTCTGTATATGAGAGAAAACATTTGAGCTCTCTAAGTTTGGCTTATTCTCCTTAGGATGATATTATCCATTTCTATCCATTTACCAGCAAATTCCATAATTCCATTCTTCTTTGTGACCGAGTGGAGCTTCATTGTGTATATATACCACAATTTTTTAATCCATTCATCTATTGATGGGCCCCTGGGTTGATTCCATAATTTAACTGTTTTGCAAATACTTCTAACTACAGTGGAGTTCAGAAGCCAGAATTACCTTCCTTCATTAAATGACTGGAAAACTAGACAAAGCACATGAACAGTGATGTGTAGCCATGGGAAAATGGTAGAACATGTTATTCTTGAGAGTAGAAGCTCAAATGAGGGGAGCTCCTGATTGCACAGTTAATGCCTAAAGATGGTTTTCAGCCTTCAGAGAAAAGATCCTGGCAATCTCACTAACCTAAAGAAATTTAGGAAGGATAGGATCAGGGCTAGGACTAGTGAGGGGACAGAACCACTTTAATTCTCTAGCACAAAATTTAAGGGGATGTCAACAAATTCAGATATGAAGATAAATAATATTTGATGTAGTCTTTCAAAAAAAATCAGAATAAATATAATGTAATCTAATTCTGCCCTTGTACAAACATGTCTTTTTTATCTTACCCTAATCATGGTCCTGTCTGAAATTTTTAGTTTGGATGAAGTCCAATTTATCTATTTTTTTTTCTATTTTGTGACTCCTGTTCAAGGAATCTTTGCCTATATCAAGTTTTCTATATTTTCTTCTAGGAATTTTATTATTTTTGCTTTTCAACTTGGGAATGATTGATAGCAAATGAACTTTTTGTATGGCATGAAGGAATGTCAAGATTCATCTTTGTTTCCATATTGAATATCTAGTGGTTTCAGAACCATTCAATGAAATCAATGTGTTTCTTCATTAGATTATGTTGGAACTAGGTTAAAAATTCACTTGATTGTATGTGTTTAAAGGTACTTTGGACTCTATTTTGTGTATCAGGATCATTTTTCTATCACTAACCATTATCACATTGTCTCGATTACTATTACTTTGGGGTAAGTCTTGAAATCAGATGGTGTAATTATTCTAATTTCTTTTTCTAGGTAAAAATTATTTTGGCTACTCTAGATTATTTAATTTGCTTCTTTGTTTAAGTCCTTTAATTTGAATCTCAAATTTAGAAGGAACTTATTAATTTCTACAGCCTGTGAATTTGACAAGCATCACTTGAATCTATAGGTCAAATTTGGACAGAATGGACATATTAATGTCAAACCATCTAATTTATGAACATTGTGTACTTCCAATTATTTAAACCTTCTTTAATTTCTTTCAGCAATCCTTTGTAATCTTAGTATAGATACCTTACATTTGCAAAGGTCTAAATTAAATTAAATTTAGTCCTAATTTATCATTTGATACTCTTATAAATTGTATTTATTATTTTAAAATTTCACTTTCCAATTTGTTGCTATTATATAGAAATAAAATTATTTTTTGCAAGTTGAGCTTTTATCCATAAGCTAACTAAATTCACTTATTAATTCTATTTTTTTGTAGATTTCTTAAGATTTTAGTGTACAGAAATCATATTGACTGAAAACAGAGATAATTCTACTTCATTTGTCTTTTCAAATATTTATTCTCTCTATTGCTCTATCATCCATACATCTATGCATTTAATCTCTACCTATCTTTCCAATTCTCTCTCTCAATTATAATATTTAGAACCTTCTAGTCCACTGTTAATTATTCTTTGATTATTCTCTGCTTCTCAGATTAGATGACATCTCTTTATATAACTTGAATTTCACTAACTTTCTTCTGCCACATCTCATGCTCTTAACTCCAATTTTTTTTTTTTTTGGGGGGGGGCGGACCAGGGATTGATCTCAGGAGCACTTGACCACTAAGCCACATTCCCAGCCCTATTTTGTATTTTATTTAGAGGCAGGGTCTCACTGAGTTGCTTAGTGCCTCGCCATTGCTGAGGCTGGCATTGAACTCATGATCCTCCTGAACCACTGGAATTATTAGTGTTAGCTCCATTTTACCATCTTATTTCAGCTGTCCTTTACTTTTGGACTGTATTTTTCTTAGCTCTTTTAACATGTTTATAGTAGCTTCTTACAGTCTTTGCTAAATGTGACATCTGGACCATTTTGAGGATGGGTTCTTTTAATAGCTTTTTTACCAAATATGAGTCACATTTTCTTGCTTCTATATAGATTTGATTGTATACCAGTCATTTTGGATAAATACATTGTAGAGATTGTGAAGAATGTTAGTTTTCTTTTAAGCTATTCACAGTTCAATAACTGCTGGATCAACTTGACACTGTTTCACCTTAGGCTTAGTAGCATTCTTTGTTAGGATAGGTGTTTAGAGAAACCAAGATGTTTTCCAGACCCCTCTGATGTAATGAGACTGAATTTTTGAATTCTGTCTTCCTGCAGGTTTTGTTTTCGGCTTTCTTGGGTGGGTCTGGAATAGGATATGGTCCTTACTTCTAAGAAGTAGACTTTCATTTTCTGGAAAATATCTAAGGTGTTAACAGCACTTTAACAAGTAGTGCTTAACAATTAATATCTATTTTCCACATTGAATGTACCAACTGTCTCTAGTAAGCCTTGTACAATATCACTCTGACCATACATAGTGCAGTCCTTGCCCAAAGATCTATGAGGAACCCCCACAAACTTTTAGGGTCTCCTCTCCATGTGACTTCCTCCTTTGAGGTTTTAGCCTACAGATTTCTGCTACTTCATCTTTTCCTCCTTAGTTGAGATGGATAACCATGTGTTTGCTTGAAATCGAGCTCACTGCACTGAGGTCAGGAACTTGCCCCCAGGCAGACAGCATAGTTCTTCTTATCAGAGGTCACTTTCTTGCACTGCTTGTGGTCCAATGTCTTAACACTTTTGCCACATGCATTTGACTCACTATTATGCTTAAGACAGAAGTACTAAGTGCCAGTTACTCCACCAGTGTCAGAAATCATCATCTTTACATAATATTGATAAATAGGCTATTTTAACATTTCTCAGGCATAGTATTTTTTTGAAATAAGTCTGGTAGTGTTATTTATATTTTTAAAATTGAGACATAATAAATGTACATCTTTACAGGGTACAGTATGATAATTTGATACATTCATAAAATGTGTATTAATGAAATCAGGCTAATAAGCACTTTTATATCCTCAAACATTAATCATTTCTATGATTAATCATTTCTATGATTTTTGTGCTCTTCTAGTTATTTTGAAATATGTTATAGACTGTTATGACCAGTAGTTACCCTACTCTGCTATTGAAAGCAGAACTAAATCCTCCTCTCAAATTGTATTTTGTTGCTATTTATCTCACTTCTTTCAGTCCTGCTCTCCTCTGCCTTGCCCAGTCTCTAGTGATCACTATACCACTCCATTCTTTGTTGAGATTGGCTTCTTAGTTTTTGCACATGAATGAGAACATGTAGTGTTTGTCTTTCTGCTTCCAGTTCCATCCATTTGCATTTGCTGAAAAGGACAGAATTTTATATTGATGGTTGAATAATATTTCATGGTGCATATACATCATATTTTTCTTACCCATTCATTCGCAGATGGATGTCTAGGTTGATTCTATATCTTGGCTAATATGAATAGTATTGCAATAACCTGAGAATGCAGGTATCTCTTTAATAAACTGATTTTTCTTTGGACATATAACTAGTAGTAGAATTGCTGGATAATATGGTAGATAAATTCCTAGTTTCTTGAGGAATCTCCATACTTTTTCCCATAAATGAGTGTACTAACCACATTCACATCAGCAGTGTGTAAGAGTGACCATCTTTGCCAGTATTTTCTGGTTTTTCTGTTTGATAATATTCATTCTAACTTGAATGAGATGGTATCTCGTTGTGGTTTAGATTTGCATTTGTCTGATAATTAGTGATGTTGATATTAGTGATATTGAGCATTTTTTCATGTACTTGTTGGCATTTGTATGTTTTCTTTTGAGAAAACTTTAACCCATTATTAAATTGTATTATTTTATTTTTGGTGTTCAGTTCTTTTACTTCCATATATAGTCTTGATATTAATCTTTTGTCAGATGAATAGCTTGCAAGTATTTTACTCCATTCTGTAGGTTTGTCTCTGTGTTTTATCTATGTTTTCTTTAGTGAGCAGTAGTTTCTTGGTTTGCTTTAATACCATTTGTTTATTTTTGTTGCTGCCTATGCCTTTGGAGTCCTATCCCAAAAATCTTTGCCTACACTGATGTCTCCAATGTTTCTCCTACGCTTTCTTGTAGTCATTTCATAGGTTCAGGTTTCACATTTAGGTCTTTGACCCATTTTGAGTTTAGTTTTGTGCATGATGAGAGAAAGGGAACTAGTTTCATTCTTCTGTATAGGTATAGTCAGTTTTAACAGCACCATTTATTAAAGAGACTGTCTTTGTTCCAATATATGTTTTTTATGCCTTTGTCAAAAATCATTTGACTGGTGCTCACTTCATCAGCACTATGCTAAAGTTGGAATGACATGTTGTAGATTAGCATGGTCCCTGTGCAAGGATGACATGCATATTCATAAAGTTTTAGAAACTAAATGTGTTCATACAATTACATAATTTTATTATGTAATTGTATGATAATTTTATTCTGATTAAAGAAAAAGGAAAAAATCTCAAAAATCAATTTGCTATATGTATGTGGATTAATTTGTAGGTTTTCTATTCTGTTTCATTGGTTTATGTATTGATTTTTTTATACTAATACCATGCTGTTTGATTAGTATAGCTTTATAGTATATTTTGAAGTCAAGTATTGTGATGCCTCAAGCTTTGTTGTTGTATTTGTTTTGTTTTCCACTCAGTATTGGTTTAGCTATTTTTTTAAGTCTTCTGTGGCTCCCTATGCACTTTAGGAATTTTTTCTTCCTATTTCTTTGAAAAAAGTTATTGGTATTTTGATGGGGATCGCATTGTACCTATGGATCACTTTGGGGAGTAGGTCATATTAACAAAATTAATTCTTCTAACCCATGATCTCAAGATATATTTTAATTTTTTCTTTAATTTCATAAATGTTTTGTAATTTTCACTGTAGAAATCGTATCTACTTGGTTAAATTTACTTTCAAGTATTTTATTTTACTTTTGTAGCTATTGTAAATTTTTGGGATTACTTTCTTGATTTCTTTTTCAGCAAGTTCATTATGGGTATATAAAAATGTTACTTTTTATGTTGATTTTGTATCCTGCAACTTGACTGAATTCATTTTTTAGTTCTAACAGCTTTTTGATGGAGTGTTTAGTCTTTTCTATGTATAAATTCACATCATCTAAAAACATGGATAATTTGACTTCTTCCTTTCCAATTTGGATGCTTTTTGTTTCTTTCTCTTGCCTAATTGCTCTTGCTAAGACATCCAACACTATATTAAATAAGAATAGTAAAAGTGTGTATCCTTGTCTTGTTCCAGATCTTGGAGGTGGGCACAGTACTTTTTAAATCATACATCATTTATGTGTATAACTGAAAACCAAAAATATAAGTGAAATGAATCGGAAAGGGCATTTCTAAAACTTCAGTTTCTCCTGAATTACTCCGAAGTTGTCTGTGCTTGTATTTTTCCAAGTAATACTGTGCTCTGTGCCATTGCAGTTGTTGATGATACAGCATTCCTCAAAAGAGTGATATGCTATTGATTCTGTGATTCTCTTTCAGGTTGCTGTCACTTCTGAATTTTGATGTAGATACTTTCAAGGAGTACAAATGTGCAGACAGTATCACTGTGTTACGACTGCTTCCTGGTCCCCTTAATTCTAAGATGTCACGAACAGTAAGAAAACATTCAGATTTCAGATATTAAAATGTGGGAAAATGTACATCTTACTATCTGACTTTTAAACTATATGCATCTTAGTTTTCAGAAAAATAGAAACAAACTACTAAAAACATTTATCTTCCATCATGGAAACTGTATTTAAGATAATTCTGTAATTGATTGTCAGTCATTACTGTTGAGACAAACACAGGGTATATGATTTATTCCACTGGTAGTTTTTAGCAATGACATTAATAAGGAGTAAAAGTTAATTATCAAATGTCAATATAAGAAAAATAATGTGCAAAAAGAAAGACTGATATCTATCTACCTCATGAAATCAGGAGAAATGAGTTTTAAACTTGTATATTAACAGCTACATTTTTTGGGGTGCTTTTAATGTGTTGACAATATTCTGTGAGTTTTCAGTAGAAAGTTCTTTAACCACTTGAATTGAAAAAATTACTGGCTTTTTCCATTCCATCTGTAAAGCATTCTGACATCCTTATGGCACATTGACAACTTCAGGAAGTAGCTGACACATTCTAGAAAGTTGATCACTTTTGCAAGCTGAGGTACATTCTATTAGGAGTCAGGTATTTGAACCCAATCTGATTATACCAGTTGCATGTGTTCATACAATTACATAATTTTATTAAATATAACGCAATCTGAGGAAATGAGAATTTCATAGAATAAATAAAAACTAAGTTGAACAGAAGGATTAATCAATATTTAAAAAAAATAGTGTTGAAGTAGATACAAGTATACTATGGTCAGAAGGTTTGTGTCCCCTAAAATTCGTGTGTTGAATCCTAATTATGAATGTGCTAGTGTTGAGGTTGAGAGAAGGGTGTGATTTGGTCATCATGGGAAAGTGACCATGAGTGGAATTAGTGCCCTTATTTAAAAAGCCCCAGAAAAACTGTGTAGACACAGTTAGAAAATGCCACCTGTGAACCAGAAGGTGGTTCTCACTAAATAAAAAATCTGTTGGCTCCTTGATCTTGGACTTCTCAGTCCCCAGAATTATGAGAAATAATTATCTGTTGTTTATAAGCCACCCAGTTGATGATATTTTGTTGTTAGAAGTGCCTTAAAGACTAGACAATGTGAGAAAACCAATGCAAATTTGGAAATTATAAAAATCTAAAAGAACTCTGTACTTAGACTCATAATTGTCTTTAATTTTTTTTCCCACCAATTTAAAGAAATAGACCTGTATTGGTGTGGTTTATATGAAGATATGGCTAGAAACCCAATCAGTAGGCCCATATCCAAAGAAAAGGCCTTAGCTTTACATAGAATATATATGTTTTGAGCTAAAAAATAAATAATTTGGTGTTTGTATGTGTTAATGGGTCTCTGCTTACAGTTACATTTCAAAACCCTTGCCTTTATTACATTAGCTAAGGGAGCTTCCACTCCACTATTATTATATCTCTTTTAACTGAGAAGGAATAAGAAACACTGTGGCCACACAGCTACCAAGTGGTGGGGATGGGACACATCCAAGCAATACAATTTCAGAACCCTCTGCCCTTAATCATCATTGCCTTCCACTAACTTACTGTGTGTTTTAGAAAACATTCAACTTCCCTCAAATTTTTTATTTATCTGTAAATAAGGGAGTTGCATGGGATATCTTAGATACTTTTTAATTCTAAAAAAAAAAATTAACTTCTGTGACATAATTCTCTGCCACATAAGTATGGCTCTGATACTTATGTTCTTCATGAATATTTTTTACTGGACAGATTCCTACCAAGATCAGGGGAGGAAAAATACTTTCATCTTTAATTAAATTATCCCTACCTCTTACTGATTATAGCATAGTTAAACTGCAACTAACCTACCAGATACTGAGTTTCTTTTTGATGGATTTTATACTTATTCCAAGTTTGAAATACAAATTTTAAGAGCACAAAAATAATGTTGGTATAAACCAGCTGGAGTTTCATCAGTGATTGAGTTGAGATACAACTCTGAGGCTCTGGGAACAAATGGCCCCTGCCAGGATAGCCAGTATTGATCTTTGGCCTCTCCTAAAGACCCTTCTCATACTGAAGTTTGCTTTAAAATTCCAATTATAAGATGTCCTACAACTAATACCTTTCAAGTTTTTGATACCTAGATTCAAATATCTTTTTTTGAATAATAGTCACACCCTCTTGTCTGTGTGACCTCATTAATCTTGCCTGGCCTTGGATAATAAATGGCTTTTGGCAGACACTAACAACACAGTCTGACAGTACAGAGCTTTGTCTTGGAACTGTTCGTCAGTCTTCCTTGTGGGTGAATACGTATTAGGCATTAACATTAAGTTTGATCTTTTCTAGAAAAAAAAATCTGCCATTTGTTTGGTTAACTTCACAAAACAGTTGGCATTGTCATTTGCTATTGGGCAAATGTATACAAAGATTGTATGCTTGGATCCTTTGTGTCCTCATAAATTATTACACTAAAAATGTATATTAAAATAATAATGTTAATTAGTGCAGAACATTACTAAGAATATATATAACACTATACAAAAAAAACAGATGTCATCAGAAGAGCTCAATCTTGCAATATACGAAAAAAAATTTTTTCTCATAATTTATTGTTTGACTTAACTCATAGAATTTTTAAATTAATTTCTGATCAGATTTGGGCAATATGTTTTGCCTCTATTTCCCAAAGATAAAATAAAGCACATAGTATGAATAGTCTGTTTTGAATTATCCTGTGTTCTCATATTCTATTACCTTAGCTTTGAATTTATCTTCAGGTTCTCACGTACAATGATCTAAATGAAAATTTTGAGGCATTAGTTTTTCACAACATACCGACATCTGTTCCCAATCATAGTAATAGAGCTATAGTCATAGGATTTAAACAAATCATAGAAACATCTATGCTGAGAAAGAATCTCCTGGGACAATTGAAAGATGAATTCTCTGTTTTGTTGGTGAGTCTTCCATTCCAGGACTGGTGAAGCATCGTGGCTGGACAACAATACAGATTAGGACTGATACAGAGATGGATCTCAGTCACAATCTAAGACCAGCTACACACCGAGCTTTGTTTATTTTAAAAATTGATTGTTCAGATATGGCATTCCTTACAGGGGGAAAAAAATCAGTAAACGAAAAGACAGGAGTAGAAGGATGGCTTTTCTCAGATAAGACTGAAAAATTTATTAAACATTGTTTGACCTTAAACATTTTACCAGGAGACCAAACAGGTAACACAGATTGCATGAGAAAGTAAAACAAACATATTTATCTTCAAATGAATTCATATACATATGTGAATTTGTTTTGATCCCTATGAACATTTTAGGTTTTTCAAAAAAAGGAACCCATACAGGATAAGTAATTAACAAAGGGAATGGAAGTAATTATACTTTCTTGCCTTCTCCATGTTTATTAGCCTTGTCTAATTCAATTTTAAGGCACTTTTGTGTCAAATGGCATATTGGTAATGATTTTCAATGTAAAACCTGAACGAGGGTGAGGCAATGTGTTCCGGGATGCTGTGGTCTCAGAGATGTTATTTTCTTCCCATCCTGGGACAAACACCGCAGGGACATTTGCTGATCTCTTTCCCCATAGCCCTCCTTTCTAGCAGAGAGCACAATCTATGCCTCAGGGTCTTGTGAGTGTTTGCCCAGGTCCTGGTGAGCTTCCTGTGCCCCAGCTGCTCCAACAGAGTGATGGGTTCCATTTCCTCATTATGTGGGAGACAAAACATTTAGTCCATACTTCTTGAAGCATGCAGAGCTTCTGGAAATATTTTT